AGGGCTGTAGTGGCGCGACTGTGGTGTGACAGCCGCGCGTCTACAGTAATGTTTAGTACAGGGCTGTAGTGGCGCGACTGTGGTGTGACAGCCGCGCATCTACAGTAATGTTTAGTACAGGGCTGTAGTGGCGCGACTGTGGTGTGACAGCCGCGCGTCTACAGTAATGTTTAATGTAAATGTAATGTTAGCGACTTCTATAAGCGTCTAATTTGACGGCGCCCTTATTTCTAAAAGTTACCATTATTATATATCAATATTAAGATTAAACAATATTCTGTTACAGATACCACCATCAGTGCCGGAGGAAATCGAACTATGCAACGCCCAAATGAACTACAAGCCGGGTGAGCTAATGAAGATCATCTGCAAACTGGCAAAAGTGCTGGCCAACCAAATATTCGTGGACCAAATGCTTGAGATAAACGACGACATCTGCCGTATCAGCCTCTGACAAACGCACAATGGCGTCGACAACATGGCCGCTCTAAACAAAATGGGCGACGCCGATAACGAAGATTTCGACGCTATTGTTTTCGATGCATTCCCTTCCATCTTTTACCCCAATTTGTAATATAGTTTACGTATTCGTTTACTATTCTGTAACATTAAAAATTATTTTGTGATTTCTTTTTAACCTGGCAATCGGTACTTATTTGAATTATCGGTAAAGGGTACATAATATTTTACAATTTTATTGTTTCCCTAGTACGTAAGTTTACTGTCATTTTTTTGTATTAATAGAATATATAATTTACTTTGAAATATAACAATATTCTTTTTATTAAGAATTAATATTACATTTTAATTCTGCAGATACTGACTAGATTCTTGAATGTAATTAATTATTGAATTTCTCCTAATACAATATTTATTTCACGTAAATATTCGTTTAATTTCTAGCGTTTGATAGGATTGGAACAGGACAATAAAAACGATACGTAGTTTAATTCACTAATTTTATTCTACAGATCACACATAATTGATAAGAATGGTTGGTTCTTTTAACTCTAACATCAAATAATGCTAAAAATATCATTACCTTAATTAAAGTGTAATTGTAATTGGGATAATCCGAATTTAATTAAAAACAAATCACCACGTTTGAGGAAAAAAAGATATAATACGGTCACCCACAAAATGCGTCACACTCATTGAATTTACGCGCGTGTCCCAGATCACATTTACATGCTGCCAAAAGTCAACCCCGATCTACCATTAAATCTTTTAGTTAAATGCTCTATCCCATATAGATAATTAACACAACTTTCTTTTTATGACGTAACATTAAAACAAAATAAAAAGTAAACTCACAGGGAAAGGCAAAATTTTACTACAGGAATGCGCAGTTTTTCTCAGAAACATACTCAATCACCGTCAATTTTGTGATGTCGTTATAAAATCAACTTTGTACACAAACTTTTTTTCAGAGCGTTGTACCATTCATACACTGCTCAAAAAAGAAGAGAACAACCAATAACAAAAGGAGTCACTGTCAAACTGTCAACTTTACCTGGTCGTTGTCTTAATTAATTGCACCACTAATTTATGGTAAAACCACTCTTACGTGACCTCACGTCAAACAGCCAAATCTTCGAATTCTCAGAAACGTTAAGGCTTATGTTCATGGTAAAGGAAAACACAGCAGAAATGTTCTTATTATAAAACCTACAATGCTATTGTTTAATATTACTCTTAACAATACATTGGTGTCTATTCTGTTGCGAGAATTTCTGATAATAATTTTAGTGTACTCGTACAATTAGTAACTCATTTTTTTACATAATTTTAGAAAACAATAAGAGATCGGCTGCAGTCTTTCCATGTTTTATTAGAAGGTACATTAAGTAGAAATATGAGTTGTACAACCAAAGGATATCTATTTCTTCACTAAGCAAAAAGATGCCATAGTACCGGCACGCAATGATGGCCGTTTTGACGTTTGTCCGCTCTTCAAGTTACGTATTAATTCATAACTACGTTGAAGGAGCTCATTGCTGTACAATACATTGTTGACAATAGTGACGTGCATTAAAATTTATGGAATGTATAATTTTACGACGCAACTAGGCATTTGTTTTTCGAAATTCGAAATTTAAAAAAATGAAATCTAATACAATCGTCACTTATGGAGATCGCTGGCCAGTACAACTTCTACCTCCAGAAAACACGCGTCAAAGCTCAATGCAAAACAAACTTTCGAATTAACGATTATTAAGCAAACACTTTTATTTTCGTTTTATTAAAACTTTTTGATCAGCTAATAAAAACTTATAGATGCGACTCGCCTACATTTTTTTCGATAATGAATTGAGATTTGATCTCACTATTGTAATGTCAAATCGGCCATCATAGCGTGCCGGTACTAATCACACTTTGGTGAACAATTTTCCTTTTTTCGGGAGTACAGTGTTAAACTCGCTTATCTATAGAAAATCGCACAACAGAATTGTCGCTATTGCCTGTATTCAGATATTTGGCCGAGGCAGTTGAAATTTATTACTTATTTCATTATAAATACGAATAAGGTATATTTTACAAAATTACTTAGTAGTTCAACTACGTTTGCCTCAACAACTTCCATTTTCCATTCCTATAAAGGCTTAATGACTATAACTACAAGAGTACTAACTAGTTCATAATTTAATATACATTATATAGATTAACCAGTTTTGCAATGGCGTCAATTTACGCAAACTAACCTTAATTTCAATGCATCAGTGTTTTTTGTCAATTGAAGAGGATTTAAGATTTCATTTCAGTTTAGAATGACGCCATTGACGCCCGTATACTACTCGATAAACTCAGATGTGGTCATTGACTTACAATTATATGGACGTCGGGTCCGCGCTAAAAAG